ATTTTAATTTAAATTATTTTTCTCAGATAATGCGCACCCATCGTATAGCGCGCCCCATCCTTTTTCCCAAAAAAATCACTTTTTTAGCAGATAGTGCGGCGCACTATCTCATGTCAAACAGGGTAATGACTAGTATTGGTGGCCACTGCCATATGTATATTATGCCGGTGCAGGTGCGCCACCAGTCTGTCCACACCGGCCACCAAGTGATCGCATGCTTTAAAGCAATCCGTATTTAACTTGTCTTTCAATATCTCTTTCTCTGAATCGTCGGTAACATTGAGTTCAGCGAAGAGACGGTCGTAAAATGAGACCTCCTTTCCCTTGACATCCACTTCCCATACTTGGTCTCAATTCATGATATTATTAGTACAGTATCAATATGTTTAATCATATTTATATAACTAATTTACAATTGTTAAGATAATAATGATGTTAATAGGATTCAGTGATATAACTCACCCAACAAGTGTTTGGTTAGTTGTGTGCCACGGGCACTGGCCAGGTCTACTAACTGATCTGCAATGGGTTGCATTTCCAATAATGTACCCCCAAAATCAAATATTACATCGGTTATCTTAGTCATGATAGTTGCTTGAAATTATTTAATATTAATAGGATATATTTGAAATAAATACTAAATATTTGTAAAGACGTGTACTGTATTAATTTGTAATAATTATAGTCTATATTTAGTTGCAAACGTGTCAGGATACTGAATTAAATTTTTCATTAAAATTATAAATAATTAAACATTTTTAATCATTTAATTTAAAATTAATTTTATTTATTGATAATATTTAATAACTTACTTTTTAATTACACTTATTTCATTTTTATTTCAAATATTAAGTTCATAATTGATAACGGTACTTTTTGACAACTCAGTCTCATAATATATTATTTATGATTTAAGTTACATATTATTTTAATTGTGGGTTTTAAATTTTATTATATTTAGAGTTAGCATTTATAATTAACAAAATAACTATTTGTTAAATGTCTTCAAAGTTAATTAAAATTAAATAATAACTTTTTAAAAATTACTAATTCAATTTTAGAAACTTTTAAGAAAATAATATTATTAAATTGTTAACATTACAAGTTAAAGCAATATAAATTATAACTCTATAATATATTTTTTAAGTAGATTTAAATAAAAAATTATACTAAACTAAATATTATATAAAGATTATTATCAAAATTCACAGTATATTATTCAATTGAATGAATGGTAAAATAAATATAATCTTGATAATGTTTGTAAAATTTCAAAATCAAGTGCAATAGTACAGTATGATTTTAACAAAGTCTTTAACAATGATTTCAATATAATTACGGTAAATGCAATTTCATTTGAAGTGAATTTAAGTACTAATAGTAATAAAACTACACAAATATTGCATATTTCTTGTTTTAATTGTAATTCTGGTTATACACCATAAATAATCTTTAGACAACTTCCCAGACTTCTCAGCGAATACCTATAATAACATAAATTTAAATAATAGATTGCCATAAAATATGAAAACTTTTATATAATATTAATATAAATTTAATAAGCAAGTATGTCAAAATATATGTAAAAACAACAAGTATTATTTGATACACGGTAGTTTTAATTACTATGAACAAATATTTTAATAACTTTAATTTGAACTTTAATAAAATATTATTGTCATAAACCTGCTGTAAAAATTTAAAAAAGTTATCATGTACTCAAATATATATTTATTTCAAACATAATACGGATTTTAGGTACAAATAGCTATAAATTACGATTTTACAATCTCAATATTGATTAAAATATATTTACATATAATTTATTTGTAATAAAGTTTTTTATAATAAATAAATCATTAAATAATCCACATAAAATATAAGAAATATGAATATTTAAAAACTAGTATCGGTAATACTTATTAAAAGTAATTTAATTTTTAAATTTTACAAACAAAACTAATATCATGTCGAACATATTTATTTTATATGCAATACAAATACAATAGGTGAGATTATTATAATATCAACAATATAACTGTCAATGAACTTGATGAATTTATAATACTAGAAAACATAAGGGAAAACATGTCTATAAATCAGTGTATTACAAAGTACAAGGGCAAACCGTAACAAACTGTAGTAGGTTAGTACTACTATAATCAAATTGTTGAACAAATTGGTAGAGTTTTCTAATTAACGATTATATTTACGATAATCCATTAAAATGCAATACATTGTTATCACCATAAAAGACCTGTAAATTAATAAATTAGACTTAACTCTCATTTTTAGTACATTTAGTTTTGGAGTGTCTTAGAAATTATAATATTTTGAATACAGTGCATTTTATTTATGTTGGTTAGTAACAAATAATATGTAGGTACAATTATGAATACCTGGTTATCCCGGTTATGGTAATCCGGGTGAAGCGATAGAGTTCCCCAAAAAACATATCGTCACACGAATTGACATCAAAAGGATTTAGAGATTTAAAGTTATAAATCAAAATTCTTTGCGAAATACATATCCACTCCAATTGACTTGAGATGCGATTATATTTTAATATAAATATTGGACATCAAATTCACTGTCAATCAGATTCACAGTTAGATAATCCATTGAAACACATAATGAGTTATTTGACTAAAACGGTAGTGTTTGCGCTGTTAGTCGCACAAGCATTGGGTAAATGTTCACTCATTTTCATTATTAACACAAATTATATAAATATTATATTTTGCTAATTAGCGTACGACTGGCCAATCATTGACGGGTATCCCTGTCCTGAGGATGACATTGCTAACACGCGTTGTTTGGGACCCAAAGACTGCTTATATCCCAATCCCAGAGATTGCAGTCGTTTTATACAATGTAATGACGCGGGACTGGCGTATGACATGCCCTGCGCTCCGGGAGGTCTGCACTGGAATGACGCTATAAAGCAGTGCGATTGGCCTGAAAATGCCAATTGTGTGGTAGTGACTGAACCCCCAACTCCAGAGCCTACGACTCCCAAACCTACCCCAGAGCCTACAACTCCTGAACCTACACCTGAGCCCACAACAACTCAAAGGCCGACCCCATTACCCGGTTTCGTGTGCTCTCTCGAAGACATCGCGAACACCCAATGCATGGGCCCTAAGGACTGTCTATACCCTCACCCAACAGACTGTAATAAATTCATTCACTGCGAGGTTAACGCTGACGGACAGACCGGTAGACCGACAGTGAAGGACT